GTATTTTGCATTTACAGCACATCTCAATTTGGAATGGCCATATATCAGGTGCAGAGAAGTCATGTTTAAGTAGTGGCTACCATATTCAACAGCTTAGTATTGGATAATTCCACCATCCTTCCTTTGTATAAAACTTTAGTTGTTTTGACTCATTGGAATTGGTTGATAAGTAATTTCAAGAATGGTAAGAAAAGAAAATGTCTCAAGATTTAAGAAAACAAAATCTTGAGACATTCTGCATTTTAGATTTGTACAAAAGTCTACTAGACTTATGATGATTGAATAAATAAACTTTTTCTTTTTAAAAGTAGTTTTGGAACTCTTAAAATAACAAGAGAACAGACAAGCTGATGAAAAAAAAAAAAATAAAGACCTTAAGAGACATTTCACTAAAAAAGATACACTGATGGAAAAAATAAGCATATGAAAAGATCCTCCACATATGTTGTTAAAGAAATGCAAATTAAAATGAGATAACACTATGCACCCATTAGAATGGCCAAAATCTGGAACATTGACCAAACTAAGGTTGACAAGAATGTGGAGCAATAGGAACACTCATTCATTACTGGTGAAGTGCAAAATGGCACAGCCACTTTGGATGGCAATTTGTTTCTCTCTCTCCCTCCCTCTCTCTTTCTCTCTCTGAAATCAATAAAAATATACTTAAAAACAAACAAACAAACAAAAAACAACCCAAAACTACAGTTAAAACAGAAGTACCTTAAAAGAATATTAAGGATTATCCACTTTATTGCTTCTTCTTTTTCTTTTCATGGCATCATTCTATCAACAATTTCATTTTGGTGGAATCCATTACCTATATTTTAAGGAATGAGAATTGAAATCTTTTGGAACCCCTAATGTAAGCTGAACCAGCCCTCCCTCTATGAATGTGTATATACATTCATAATATGATGACATTTATAATTAGAAAAAGGAACTGATATATTTAAATTGTATATATTATATAATATGTTATTCTATCAAGTTATTTTATAAATCTAAGATATTAAATTACTTTCATGCTATCTAATGCTAGCTTTTCATTTCTTTAATAAAATAAACCATTTTGATAGTATTTTATTGACTGAATCAAAGTTTATAACTAAAAGGTGATATTTAACACTAAATTTAAAGGAGAATATGCCCAGAGACCACTATCTGCAATGCTGTTCCCACACACAGAGTAATCTGCATCCCAGCCTTGCAATGCTGAGCTAGTCAAGCATATCTAATCTCTTTCCAAAGCACACTTATTCTGATCTCAGTTAAACTATGAAATCTGTGAGGATATTTTTCTGGTCTTTTCTGCTTCATAGAATGGGTAAAATGAGAAAATCCTAATAAAGAGGTAATATGCAAATTGACCATCATACCCTCACAAGTTTGCCAACTATAACCAGGCTAGCAGGGGAGTTAGTGAGGGAGGATCAAACAACTGAACAAGCAGGCTGTGTGGGGTGACAAGGCTGGTGAGGGAGGGCCATGGGGGGTGACCAAGCAAATGGGGGGGCAGTTAGGGGCAATTGGGGGGGGTGTGGTTGGGGGCGACCAGGTTATCACAGAGGCAGTAAGAGGCAATCAGGCCGGTGGAAGGGCAGTTAGGGGTGTCTAGGCCTGTAGGGGGTAGCAGTTGGGGGCGATTAACCTGGCAGGGGGCAGTTGGGGGCAACTGGAGGGGCAGTAAAGGTTGGCCTGTCTGGCCAGAGGGGAGAGTTAGGAGCAACCTGGCTGGCAGATGGGGGCAGTTAGGGGTGACTTGGCTGGCATGCAGAGGCAGTGAGGAGTGATCAGGCAAGCAGGGAGGGAGCAGTTAGAAGGCGACAAGGCTGACAGGCAGGTGAGCAATTAGGAGCCAGCAGTCCAGGATTGTGAGAGGGATGTCTGACTGCTGATCCCCAAGACTCGGCTTAAACTGGCAGTTGGACATCCCCTCAGGGGTCCTGGATTGGAGAGGGTGTAGGCTGAGCTTAGGGGACCCCTCCCATGCATGAATTAAGCGCATCAGGTCTCTAGTAATAATTATAATGTTCTGAGATGAAAAGCATTAAAACTGAACCTCTCTAATGTTTTCTCATGATATTTTTCTTCCTCAATGATTAAAAATAAGGCCAAAGGATACACAGACAAATACACACACACACACACATACACACTCAAACACATCATCCACACCATTTCTCAATGAATTTTTATTTATTTTTAAATTTTATTGCAAGTCTTGGTAAACATTATAGATTTGCCTCTGGCTCACCAAAAGCCCATAATACAAAATACCAAAAGACAAGCAAGTGAAGCATAAAAAAAAAAAAAAGTATCACATCTATAAGAAAGAATCTTTCAAAAACATTAATAAAGTATATAAAACATTTGACATTTTACTAATTTTTGTACAATTATAAAAATAATAAAAAAAACACACAACCCTTAAACATTCAATATCCCACACACTATATTTTCGGGGAATATCAAGAAAACAAATATTAATGGATTTAATGAAGAAAGTTCAGTTCTCCATTTCTGTTTCTTATCACCTCTAAACAAAAACCTTTCCATTTGCAACAAAGCCAGAAGGCTTATCCCCTGAACTGGGGGAACATTAAGCCTACTCCCATTTTTGTGCCTTTATTCTTTTACCCCATTGTCCTAGCTACTCATACACTCAAAGAGTGTTAAGTTTCCATCAGGATGTGAGGCCAGTAGTTGCACCTAGACTCGGCTATTGCCAAATCCATGAAATACAGTACAGGAATTTCTTAGTTCCCTAGTGCCATCTGAATAGTGCTGAAATAGCTCAGAAGTCCTTACATTTACTCAAACACTCAGGATAGTAGAAGAAGCCATGTGTCCTCCTAGCTTTGCCAAGGCACAGTTTTCGTTCTTCCCCTTAATAGGTTTTCAAAGCTGCCTGCTTGTTCCACAAGTTAACAGTGCTTATTATCATTTAAGCACAATGAAACTTTGAAATCAAGGACTTACCCTCTTAAACATACAAAATAAAAAATAATAAAAAACAACTTTCTCTCCCCTCATCTTAGTTATGACTTTTTTTTTTCTTATTTGACCTTTTAGTTTTACTAACTGGTATCTCCATGAAAATATAAGACAACAACAACAACAACAATAATAATAAAATGTTTCAACTGTGGTTCTGAAAAACCCACTATCCCCAAAAGAAAAAGAAAAATAATTGAAATACAAAATATGTGATTTCATACACAAAACATATATACACATTTCAGATGAAACACACATTATACTTTAGAGCCACATTAGCACTTTTGCACTTTGAAATACAAATGGAAGCTTATGTGCAAGGATAGCCCTTTACCAGAAAGTACAAGAGGATTTTACAGCTCATTAGCATATATACAAAATATTTGTTTTATAGTTTGAAAAAAAAAAGTATTTGCTACAAAGTATGTTTCTAAAATATTTAGGGGAATATTGTCACAACTCTTTGTTTATGTGGTTCAAGCAACAGCTCCCACAGTAGGCTTATCCCCTGAACTGTGGGGACATTTTTATGTCTATGCACAGTCCAGGAGAGAGATGGATGGGGAATTGGGTTCTCACAGTTACTTTCCAACAAAACAAAGCTCTCATTGATCAAAAAAAAAGAAAAGTGATATAGTGATGTAACGGACGCCACAGAGAAAAACCAATCTCCTAATTTTATATTTTCCAAATCACTACTCCTATTTTAAGCCTTGAAGAGAGAAAGATAAACAAGCCTCTACATACAGAATTTTATAGGTAGGAGGGTCTTTAAAAGAAACATTTAGCAAATAATATTATCTGTTTCAAAAGGTCTTCTAAGAATTTACATTCATGGTCCACTGAGGTCTCTTACTATTTAGTGGCAATTCAATATTTTCCTATATAATATCTGGTTTTCCTGGATATTCAGAAGAGACATTATGACTTCACTGTAAGAACTAAGTAGATGATATTCTTTTTAATCAACTCAACCTTAATTCTACCTAGAGTAGTAAATGTGTAATTGAGTTTGTTAATCTACTAATAAATTTCAGTTTTAAGGCTTTTACAATGATCACAAATATTTTGCCAATAAACACTAAGATATCAGGTGTCTGGTATTAAATTTAGGGGATTATTAATATATCCAGATAGATGATGTCATGAACCTTTAAAGAATTTTAGCCATGACCCATATTTCCCATTCCCAACCAAAAGCAAGAAAGCATGATTTCCTTCCTCTATAGTGTGTGATAATATGAACTTTTTCTTATAATTGGATTAAATAAGCCCAAAGTGAATCACCATCACTAGTAGGAATGCCAGTAACTAAGATACACCAAAATAGAGAATCATGTTACATATGTATATAGTCACACCCACATAATAAGTAATGGTAAATACAACTGAATCTATCCAAAGGTTTGATGTGGCATTTGTTTAGCATCAAAAGAATAGAAGGGGCCTATACATAATTGTCACTCACATGTACCAGAAGCTCTAAATAGGTATTACCATACATGGTATCCCTTGAGAGAAGGGGTATAGATAAGCCATCCAAAACAAGTAAATTAAAAAAGTCACTAAGTGCAACTCAATTTCCTTTCCTTTAAATTATATTTTAAACAATACTCAATGCCACCCACTCAAAAATATATACTGTATATTTATATATTTAAATATATAGTCTTAGACTATAAGAGTGAAAATGCTTTATAAAAGTCAATGAGAGAGCTCTACAGCTTAAGAAGACACTCACTGCTTTTTTTTTTGCTCACTTCTACTTATTCATGATAACTTTAATCTTGCAAATAATAGATTTGAAGGCTTAAAGCCAGAACCAGAACCAGACACCTGGTTGGACATTAGGTAAATGTAGCCTTTTACTTCTCCTTCCCTTAAGAGACCACACTGAGAAGAGGAAGGAGGTAGGGAGAATGCTTTGAAGGTCAAGCAGCAGTGCCTTGTAGGGTGGTGGGCTGATGAGAAGAGTAAGGAAAGAGCTCACACAATAGGGCTCACTCCCCCTCTTCTTTGATACGCTGTTGCTTGTTGCGACGAGCATCCATGTCAAAGTTGAAGTCATTCCACTCATCGCGGGGTGGGAAGGAGATGGTCTGGCGGAGAGTGAAGCGCACAGCATCAATAACACGCTCACCCCGGGTCTCACTGGAGCCCACACTGACTGTAGAGGTACCACTTGGGGTCCGCAGGAGGTGGGGAGGGGAGGAGAAGTCGTGTAGCTGCCGGTGGTCCAGAATGCCTTTCCAGATTGCATGTCGGAATTGCTCAGGAATTTTTAGACTTGCCAAATCCTGTGCAATAGGAAAGGGAATTAGTTAGGGAGAATCAGGTCAAAGAGACAACTGACATTTAGTCTGTGACATTTTGTCATCCCCCAGTGCTCCTCTGGTTTAACTGACCTGAATTTATTGATCTCTAAATTGGAAAATAAAATAGCTCTCCCATAACCTTTGGCACTGCAAGTAACTAAGCACAAAGATACAGCCTTAAATGCCATCTCTGCTTGTGGATAACTTTGCTCATTTTTTACTGGTAGTAGTTCCTTCATTAGTAAAGTGGGACAATAGTTAGACCAGAGGGCAAAAATGCCAAAACAGAAACATATGGTAAAATACCTTCCAACTCTCAAATCTACATGGTTCTAGTCACTAGAAGAAAGGTATTAATGGAATGACACCACCACTCAAATGAGGATTTGAGAAGAAAATATTACTATCAGTTACTAAAGAATTTATATGTGCCATCTACTGAACTATATTATTTTATATTCATGATTTCACTTAATGCTTAGATTAGTGGTAGATATTATTATACCTATTTTTATATAGGAAGCTGAAGCTTAGAGAAGTTGACAAGCCTAGGTTTGCATAACTAAGTGAATGACTTGGGGACTCAGGACAGCTTCTGAGACCAATGGCCCAATTTTCAAAAGGTCTCTTAGTGCTTAGATAAATTAAGGTATCAAAATGCAGAGTATGTGTCCATATTCTATGAATGGGAGTAGAAGGCATGACACATATGGTTGATTTTAACTAAGGTGGTAGCTCTCTTACATTTATCCACAGTAGCTCTTCATTACCTTGTTTCAGTTAGGGCAAATTTTGGAAAATTATATTATTACTTTAAAATTTTTATGGAATCACATATTGAGTAGAAACAACATTGTTCTTGGAGTTAGAACTGGACAGAGGATCTTTTGTCACTGACTGGCTCTAGACCTTCAAGTCACTTATTCTCTATTGGCCTCATTGATAAAATGGAATACAATTCCTTTTTAGATCATTGTGGAATAACATAAATATGGATGTGTAAGTATTTTGCAAATTATAAACCATACTATATAAATCTTAACCATGTGTATTATTGTTGTATTATTACTAGTCTATCCTTGCATCTTAGAGAAAATACTTATGAAAACTCTCAAATTTAATGGCACTTCTTTTTCAGGAAGGGATGCCAAATAACTTAGACTGATATTGAAAGACAAGCTGAAAAAGAAGTTTTATTTCCAGTAATGAGATGGAAGAAGCTGAAGTGAGAATGCAGAATTATATAGCTTCCCAATCTTTTCCAATTTGGACATTTGCATTATGGGTTCTCCATTTCCTACTCTAGGAGAAGAATATATTATAGAGAAGATGATCCATAAATAGATAAGTGAGCAAAGTTCTTTATGCTTCTGATATTCACAATAATAAGTCAAAAACTTCTTATAATCTAGGCTTCATTAATCTGCATGACTGTCTGGATAGATTTTAACTTATTACAGACAGGTAAGAAAGCTGTGGCCCAGACACTGGCACAAGACCTAGCCAATGCCAGCAGAGAGAGATATACTTGTGGAGAACATCAACAGATCCTAATAGGCAAGGGGGCATCCTGACACATGCATGCCCCAGTGGGGACAGTGAGCAAGTAGAAAGTATAACTCTAAAAATGTAGGGAAGAGACATATTCCCTGTTCCATCATGTAGGGTTCCCAATCAGAGCAACTCCGTTGTCTTCAATGGATGGACATCATTGTTGTTATCTAGAACCTTTCAGAATTATGAAAGCTTTCCTTATAGTTTCACCTCCAGGGAGCAGCATCCAGAGCTGACTTGTGGGGTGGAGAGGGGTGGGAACAGGGGTAGCACAGCATATACGGTTTACCACAGGGCTGGGCATTCTCATGCTGCGAGGGCATCCCTGGCATCGGTGCTCAGGGAGAGGGGGGAAAAAGTCCCAATTACAGAAGCAGGGGCAGAGGCAGAGGCAGAGGCAGAGAGGATCTTCTTCCACCAGTCCAATGGAACCTCTGGAAGCTGGTAGACAGAATAGTGAACCCCAAAAAGAGCAACATGAAAGGCAGCCAGGGTGGAAAATTAGATTGTCTAAACCAGAACAATACAAGTTCCCATGTGAGCAGCAGTTTAAGACATGGTATAGCTTGCTCCGAAGTATAAGCCAAAGAATATAAAAGCTAGAGGAGAGTGATTTTGAGCCCAATTGGATTAATTGCAGCCCACAGAGACAAAGCAATAACCACAAGTTTGCATTGCTACTACAAAGCAGAGCTGGGATTTAAACTCACAACCAGTAATCTTCCCTCTTAATCATGGATTTCTGAGCCCTATTCTGATAGAATTGAAAATGAATGAATATATGATTTTCACTGAGAAGAGCTGCTGAATCCCTTTAAGATCCCACTTTAAGGAAAGGCAGAAAAAGCTGATTCATAGAATAAAAGACCAGAAGTTTACTCCTCAGGTTCTATTCCTGATTCTGACATCAACTCATCATGGCAAATGACTATATTGTCGTCTCTCCATGTTTTAAAGTGTGAGAATAATATCACATGCTTTCTGCTCTCCTCCCTAGGATCTGATACCAATTAATGAGAACATCCAAAAAGTTCTCTAAATTTAGAAATTGTTCATTTCTTGAAGGTGGGAATTAGATCTCTTCTTTCTCACTGTGTACATAATATGCAGCAGACAATTCACTGATCAGACAAACAGAGGAAGATTGATTGCAAAGCTTCCATATGTGCAAGCTGTGATCTAGGAATACTTCAATATGGATTCCATCCAAATTGAGGGTTGGAGGGGATGACAAAAACAAATTTTACAACCAGGAGGATTGTCCTACAAGGTGGTTGTCACCAGAGGGAAAAAATGAAGAAATAAAACTCAAGAGAAAAGTCTAACAGTTACTTACATCCATGGAGTAATGCTCAATCTGATAGATGGTGGTCAGCCCCTGGGTCGTGAAATAGTCCAGACATGATGAACAGCCCAACCTTGCTAAGAAACTGCAGAGGGAGGAGGGAAGAGGAAGGAGGAAACAGAAAAAGAAAGTTCACCCCAACTGCATTGGCAGATAAAGAAAAACCCAACATTTTGCCCTGGGATGTCCTATAGAAGAGACTATGAGTAGATTAAGTGTATGTGGTTCTTGGATTTGAGACTTGGGGATGATAAATAAGTTAAAGTTTGGGTCTATAAAATTAAAATCAACTATAAGTATTCCTGCAGAGCAGGAGTTTTCAAATGGTGATTGAATTGTAAGGGGCTCTATAATCATGCCTTAGCAGCCATTGCAGGGGGTGAAAGGAAGGAATCCAGCGGTCAGCTTCTCAGCCCTCTTGCCTCCTGGCTCTTCACTTCAAAAAGAGCATCTCTACTTTAATTGTTTGTATTTGAGGGTTCTGGGAATGGTTTGGAGAATGGAATGAGACTAAGATAAATTTATAGGCCACCATACTATGAAGCCATTAATGCTTGTTAATTTATGTTTTGGTGCTGGTCTCAGACTGATAATGCCACCAGTCTGTCACAGAAACAGATGCTGGGTGGGATAAGCTATGCATTTTGTCATCCCTCTGACTGATGCTGCTAGTTTTATAGCACCAATCATATGGAGCTCGATGCATTATTCCAGCAGCCAAATGAAAGAATTATTCTGCATATGAAGCAGATGATGTGTCCTTGGAGTGAGATTTGGGTGCCTATTCTTGCCACTGTGGGGAATAGATCTGTCAGGCTTCATGCACTTCTCTCTTCATGCTCTCTGCACTCCTTTGCATGGAGTGATCCCATTTGCCAAATAGTAAAGCAGCAGAGGCCATCAGGTTCTTGAAAGTCCCTGTCATCTTAGTTAACATGAAAACTCTTTTATGGGGATGCAACTTCAAAATAATCATCCCATGTGGCTGAGAGCTATGAGGCCTAGAGAGCAAGAAAGGGAGCAGGATAGCAAGTTTACAGCCCTATTGGGAACCCCAGCCCTGGGCACCAATTTGAAGGCCACAACTGACAGTGTAAAAAAATGGGAGGGAGGAGATAGGGAACAAGTGAAGATGGGGGAATAGGCATGATAAATTATATGCCTATAAACTCATATTTTCACTTTCTTCCATGTTGATTAGGGTGATGTTCCTTGATTAAACACTGCTGACCACTACATAGATCAGAGATAATAGTAGCTGAACTTCAACCATAGGGTTGCTTTCTTTCTTTCCAATTCTGCTATTCACTTTGGACAGTGTCTACCCTCCACCACCCAAAGATGTTTAGGACAGGCTCCCATACTGTGGCACATTCTGTGGACTCACCTGACAAGGCTGCAATCTGTGGGGTACGGAGGCGGGGGGGTGCAGTGGGAGGTGGATGGCATGGAGAGTGGGGGAGGGAGGGTCTGGGTGGGGCTGAGTCCATTCATGTCTCCAGCCACTGGCATGTGGGTGCCCATCATAGGAACTGAACAGAAGCAGGAGGAACAGAGAGGGTTACTGCCATCATCATGTACCAACATCCTAGTGGTCCATCTTGTCTGGTTTAATGTACCTAATCTACCAGGCTTTCTTTTTAATCATCTCTTTCACTTCATCCCCTCAAGTGCCCTACATCTCATCAATCAGTATAGTCACCAAACTAAAAACTAATTACACTTCTCTTGACCTTTGTAGAATCTCTTAGGACAATCTCTTCCTACTTCTTTCTGTACTTCTAATGCTCTGTCCAATTGCTCATTGCTCCTGATGTAAATATTTCTCTTGTTGTATTTGCCTTCATGGGTTATATTTCTGTCTCCCTCATTAGTCTAATCTCCTCAGGCATTGAGATTAAACCTGTACCCATCTAAATCCCCATAGATACTACCACAGTGCATGGTAAGTGAGCAAATTAACAAATCTATGAGTGAGAGAATGAATATTTATTTTGGAGTAAGGGATTTGTTATAATATTTTTTAGGAACCATAAACCTAATAAGAAGAAATCCTATTAAAAATTCTAACTTTCTTATGGTCCATTTCAGGATGTATTCATACATTGATTTTTTTTTTACTAAACCATAAACTGTAAAAATTCATTATAAAAAAGAACAGATTAATATAAATAATATTTATGAAAAATTTGTATTTAGATAAAAAAGATAAAACAACATATATACAAAAAGATGAATGTTAATTTACTTCTACTTTAATGAATAGTAGTGGGCAAAAAGGAAAAGACTTCTGCCACTTACTAGCTATCTAAAGAGCACAGGACTATATGTCTCATCAGTTTCCCCTCTGACTTTCCTGATGATAGCAAATTGTGAAGTATAAGTAAAAAATTGTGAAGTATAAGTAAAAAAAAAGTAGGCAAAGTCTGTTACATAAATGTGAAGGATCCTATCATTACTACTCTCTTGTCATCCAAAGAAACACTTGAGGAATCTAAAATATCATAAGAAAGAAAAACAAAAAAGTGAATGAGTACTTTTTAAAAAATTATTTTCAAGGGGTCAGGTTGAGTCTTAGGTTGTATTTATCCCTAGTGAGAAAGCAGCCTGGCTCTAATGTCTTTGTTGCTATATCAGGCAATCACATCACACACATCTTCATCTCATTAAAGACTGAGAGTCCTAATTCTACTCTCCTTAACTTCATTAAGAAAATCCAATCTTTTCAAGGAAAAACTGAAAACACAGGGGGTTTTTTTTGTTTTGTTTTTTTACTAAAAGTGTATTAAAAATGATGAAGGGTTTTGTAAGACAATTTGAGGCACTGTTTTTTGAGGGCATTACAGGATACATTTATAGTATTCGGGCTCCTCATCCCTGAAGATATTATACATCCTTCTGCATTTTTACCATCTTTGTTTTGTTGTTTTTTTTTTTTTTCTTTCCAGTTTGGATATTCACTTTGGTAGATTTAGATCTAGTGAACAAGATAATTGAATTTACACACAAAGCTATATAGCAATCATCCACTCGAAGGCCCAAATCTCACATTTTTTTTTACAGTTATACTTAGCTGTTATAAGGGATCTGTATGTAAATCAGTGGAAGAGAAACTCTTATGTCAGTCATTAATGATTGTGAATGGAATGGAGTAGACAAGTTGAGAAGGCCAAGATTGCAAGCCACAGAATCATAGAATGTGAAATGTGCAGAGCGATGATTTTATGAATGGAAAGCTGAGCATTAGAGCAGAGAGGTGTCCTTTCCATAGTGATATAGCCAATATTGTAATAGAGTCCAGACTGTAATTTATTTCTCTAGATTTTAAGTCCACCATACCACGCTACTTCCCATATGTTAGATGTATTTTCCTTTGACTATCTCAAAGAATGTAGGAAGTGAGTCTTCATCCATGTTGACTGTCCTTTTCACAGAAATCCTTATCCCTACTAAACAAATAGCCTTCTTCATCTCTACCAATGTACTTTGTAATGAAACACACACCTCAAAAGTGAGAAACTGTTTATGATGAGAAATTCAAGCTACTCAATTTGGAACTGTTCTATCCCACTGAGCTTCTCACTTAGCTTAAAAGCAAGTCTTTCCTGCATCCCAGAGCATAATCTTCCTCTAAAACTAGTGCTGTGAGTTCTTTAGCTGTGGCTAAAGGGAGATGCTCTTACGGTTAGCTCCCATGCCATCTGGAATGGTGGTGGGAGTGAGGGCGTTGCGCTGCTGAGGGTTGATAAGCTGGCTCACAGAAGGCAGCTTGTTCATGCTGTTCATTTTGTTCAGAGGTGGGGAGCTGTTACCATATGAAGACTGAGACTGCATTGAGGTCCTAGGAACACAAACATTGGAATGATGGTGAGCATGGAACACTGAAGAGTGGGAACTGGTCATTTCCAACAAGTCTCAGATTAAATCATGGCCTTAAACTATACAGTTGCAAAATAATTCCTCCTGGATCAATGACAAGAAGTTATCTGCATTTCTACCTGAGAACTTTCTTGACTAGGGAGGGAATCACAATGCTATCAGGAAATCATATTCTTTCTGAATGTGTAGAGTACAAAGTGAGTATCTCCTTTGTGAGAGGGAGAACAATTGCACCCTCCTTTGTTCCTTTACAATCTTTTCTATCCTTTTGCACTCTCCTGCCTGTCAACTAAAACAAGTTTAGAAATCAATAAGAAAAAAGAACTGAGTGAAGACTCAAAGGCATATGAAAGATATGCAGATGCAAAGCTCAAATGGCAGTGGGAACATTTCATTTGTAGTTTCCTGGGCCATTAGGGATATGCAGAAGATAACTACACAGCCAATCAAACAAGGCCTTTAGCAGCAGACCCTGCTTCTATGCAGAAGCCTCAACATGGAAACATGCTTTGTCAGCCTAGATGTTCATGGACCATAAAATAACCATTTGGAATGCCAATAACTTTGGTATGCAGGAGAACCCTGGAAGCCAAACAAATGTTTTATTGACTTTCCACAAGTCTTCTGGTAGACAAAGAAAAAATAAATTCCATTCAGCATAACTTCAACTGGGAAATTTACTACAATTGGTGTGCCATATTCTAATATACCACATTTAATATTACTGATACCATTGTCATTCCTGACTTTTTCTTTGAATATAGAACTAGTGATATCTATTAGAATCAGGGTAGGATACAAAGTTAAAAAATATGAAAGTTTAAGTCTTCTTTGAGTATACATTAGGAAGCTCTAGGTCTCGGAGCAAGCCTCCAAGCATCCCTGCCTTTGTTTCCTCACAGGAAAAACAATATAAATGAAATACATATACACTTGCTACAGGAATTAGATGTTAGAGGTAGGAGGACTAATAAGAGGTAGTTGCATCTTTGAGAAGCTCATGGAATAATGGATATATGGTGATAATAATCCAACTTACCTTGTAGGGATGTAGTAAGAACTGGAAAAGATAAGATGAAAAACTTTATAGACAATATGGTATCAACAGTGAATAATTATTAAAATATAGGATGAAGAATGGACTTTGAGCATGTTTTTAATTTTTGATGGGAAAAATTCTTCTTTCAGACTTTTCAACAAAATGTATTATTGTGTTACTGTTTATCTCTTCCCTGCTGCAGCCATACTGATATTAGAAGAAAGAGAAAGCATTTTTCTGTCAGTTTTATTCGAATATATACATGTGTATGTATGTGTGTATAGATATATACAACTATATATAAAAACAAAATTTGAAGGTTCTATAAATAAGCCCAGTTTTCAAATAAACATGGTATAATAATGTTTTAGAACACAATAAAAAGTGGTTCTAGTACTGGAGTGTTACAGTAGGACACTTGGTCTTTGAAGCTGCTACACTGCTCTCCATAATTACACAAAACAGGAATGGCTCCATTCCATAGCACTGAGGAGCCACAGCTAGGGGAATTAAAACAATATGCTATATACACATTTGCATATATATGAATGACAATTTTTATACAATTAACAATTCAGCTACCCATTACCATCATGTCTTTAAGGTAGGAGAACATTGATTTTTCTCTATAGCCCTTCTCAAGAACATAGATAGATCCATGTTGTATAAATAGGTGCTCTCCCAATTGTAAGACACTTCAGGTTACCAAGCTCTCCTTTATCTATTTTCTGAAATATTCTCATCTCTCTGTAGAGGAGTATATGGTATGGCAGGGTGGAAATGGATAAATATAAATTTCTAAGAAAAAATGTACCTAGTTATAAATTGTCCAATGATGAGTAGAAAAATCTCCTGGCTCCTAGTCCAAGAGTTTTGTGTTTTTTTGTTTGTTTTTTGTTTTATTCTATGGCATCTTCCCAGAAATAAGATAGTGGTGTGCAATAAGTTACAGAATCAAGAAATTGGTGAAGTCAGAAGAGAAATGTGGGAAATTGAGATAACACAGGGAGCAAGAGATGTAATAAAGGGTGCCCCCCAGCTATCATCAAATTGACTCTACCTGGTGAAAGAGTCAACACATTTGGAGACACTTAGGAACATCTGTAAGTCCATATTCAAGTAGAGGAAAATATAGACAAAGTGGCCTAGAGATGTTTTTCCTAATGCTTCTTCTTCTAGCTCTGCCCACTACCAATTTCCCAACATGCCTGTTTGCTAAACTTCACAGGCAGACTGGTCCTGTGTGACCTAAAAAGAGTGCTAGTTCTCCCATTCCTCCAAACCAGTCAAATGTACAATAAGAGCTGATGGAAGCAATACTTGACCAATTATGTTCACCATTAGGAAAATAAAAAATATATTTAAAAGCTCTGCATTTTCCCTGGAACCTCAGTTACAGTAAATGGCTTCTTTCAAATCCCATTACAGTTCTCTTTTCTTTGTGTGGTCTTTGTTTTGACCATTTTATTAATTCATTTGTTATAAACTGCTTAAACTATATTTGAGGAAGGTTGGTCAGAAACCATAGATGAACATCACCCTCTAAATCTGATACAAATTATTTTACAAGTCTGTTGAGTCTCACTTTATTAATCTATAGAAAAGCTATTATACTCATTTTAGAAGAGTTGCTGTGAAGATTACATTATGTATGAGCTCTGGACATTGCCCTATAATTTGTAGGTATGCAAGGTACATTGCCCTATAATTTGTAGGTATGCTTTTACTCTTCCCTTAAAGCTCCAAATGTTTCATACTCTAGTGTTTGGTCAAGGAGATAAAAGGTATAAGTTTAAGATTTAATAGGAGTAAGTGAAAGAATTCTTGCCAAAACCGGGTTGGCTCAATGGATAGAGCGTCGGTCTACAGACTGAAAGGTCCAAGGTTCGATTCTGGTCAAGGGCATGTACCTTGGTTGCTTGCGGGCACATCCCAGTAGGAGGTGTGCAAGAGGCAGCTGATCGATGTTTCTCTCTCATCGATGTTTCTAACTCTCCCTCTCTCTTTCTCTCTGTAAAAAATCAATAAAATATATTTTTTTAAAAAGAAAGGATTCTTAATTGAGCAAATCTAGAAATTAGAGCAAGTGGATGAATGGAAGTAAGAGAGTCTGAAAAGGTAAGAAATTCTAAATGCCTCTCTCTTAATGCAGAAGTGAGTATTAAATCCACAAGGCAAAAAGTCAGGATAATCTGTTTAATATTAAGTTTGCAATGTCTGACATATAAAGAATATTCTGATAATCTCTATGTGCTGTGGAAAGCAAATAAGTCTGAATAAATTTGTAGTGAATTTAAAGTCCTTGAAGAACAACTTTTCTTATTTTTTTTTCTTTACAAATACAATGTCACAACCATTGAAAAGACAATCCCAAAGATTGATGTGAATCTGAAAAGTTTAAAAAAAAGTACCGAAGGATCACAGGACCTGTGGCATTATGGTTTTCTTACCCCTCCTCAACAAAATAAAGCAAAAAAAAAAAGTATGAACATAGCTCTTTTCAGAAAAATAACAAGGTGTAAGTCTCAGACTTTTCCCCCAGAGGCATACTAGATTTTTCTAGGAATCCAATATAACAGCAATATAAGATGCACATTTCATGTATTTCTATATTTCTAGTGCTGTGAAGAAATCCTGGTAAAGTCAAGTCCCAGTTCTTCAGTCTAACAACTTGGGCTTCTGTAAACATTGTCAGTAAAATTTAGTATCTCAAAGTGACATTTAGATCATCCAGGATTAGAAAAAATGTTTCCTGTTTCCAAGTCCAATGACTATCCGGGTGGTAGAGAGTCAGAATTCTTTGGAAGGCACAAATTCGTCATCTTCACCACCTTACTAGAGATGCCTAGAATTCCACCAAAAGATTTTGCCTCAAATCTTCCATTGCCAGTTAAAAAACTTGTTAGTATGATCTGGTGATACCTCAGAATAAATTTATTTCACCAAACCTATTTCTGGAGTACAAATCTGAAAGGGGGTAGGGGTATTGAGAGGTAGAGAAAAACACCCCTGGTATGAGGAAGGTCATAGAAGGAAATATATGAACCATCAGGAAAGAATTGTTTCTCCTCTAAATTTTTCCCAGTAACTGCTCTGCTTGTAACCTTTCTCTCTATCTAGGTGATCTAAATACAAAGGGTAGCATTTAATCTCCAGACAGATCAACCAAAATTGTAAAATATTTTCCATCAGTTCAAATATGTGCATTTATATTCAGGTAACTATAAGCACATCAAAAACTTATTTAAAAATAGAGCAAAAAAAAGGCTTCAGAAGAAAAATAAATATTAAATAACTAAACATATTAATTAATCCTTGATGGGAATTATAAATTAAAATTATTAGATTTAAAACACTTTACAGATGTAACAAGATCATCGGATTTTTTTTCTTAAGTACTTTTTAGCTACTAAATTAATTATTTTTATTTAAAACAATTGTTTTTGAAGCTTTTAAAAATAAACATTCATCCAAAACCGGTTTGGCTCAGTGGATAGAACGTCAGTCCTGGGTTTGATTCTGGTCAAGGGCATGTACCTTAGTTGTGGGGAGTGTGCAGGAGACAGCTGGTTGATGTTTCCCTCTCATTGAGTTTCTAGCTCTCTATCCTTCTCCCTTCCTCTCTGTAAAAAATTATTTTTAAATCATTAAAAAAGAAAAAATTAAATAAACATTCAAAGATGGGGATATATTGTTATTTCTTTAAAAAAGGCATTGGACAATAGCTTCAACTAAAAGTTCTGAATGAATATTTACTAATGCCTCTATCACAGAAGTCAAATTATTTACTAATTTTGGATTTGAATTAAACTCCTTTTAGTAAATTTAGCAACACAAGGATTGTTCAGAGGTGTGAACAAATGATACTGTAGTGTATGATTTGTTATGATGAAATTAAAGCTTAAGGTATATCTTAGTGCTAA